ATAGCGAGGATAGATTTTGTGCCTAGTAGATGGATGGATAGGAATTTTATTTGATAAAAGGTTACAGGAGACAACAAAATTACTAATAACTGAAAAGTAAAGATCAATCACTTACTTGAGCTGATTGCATACTCATAAAAAAAGCTATGATTATCGACTAAAAATATTTTAGAAAGTCCTGTTCAAACTGGAGAAAGTTGTGATCACTTACTAGATCTGCGTCTGTGGCCGAACGGTTACAATGCTGGACTGCCACGCAGAGGTCCCGGGTTCGATTCTCCGGTCGGAAGAAATATTGTATGGCCTACATTTATTTCTCTCGTGAGTTTGGGTGTAATTTGTGGTTATCTATGTGTGTATCTAAGGCACGGGCGATACAGGGTTTCCCTAGAGAGGGACAATGAGTGTGTGCGTGTGCCAGACCATGACATCAATTAACTTTGGTTGTCTCGAAGTAGGGAAGTCCCTGTACTAACCAAAACAAGTTTAGAAAGTTAGTTTCCCTAATTGGTCTTACTGGAGATTTTAAACATCTAACGCGCAAACTGCTATATGTTGGACCACCGAGGTCGTCAGGCTTCTAAGAAGATCTAGTGGTTAAATTAAACGAGATGAAAAACAATAGTCATCGAAATTCATAGTCATGTAGCTTTTTGACCAGTATTAAGTGTTAGCTGAACGTTCAACGCAACTACACGAATTTTATTACTAAAGCCTTCCTTCAGCAGTATATGTTCCATTATTGATGCAACAGATTTCTGCTTCTCCTTCTGCGACTGCGGAATTTTAACGGAAGCTTACAATGCTTTTGATTAAAGTTTATATCAGTTTATACCGGGCATTTTATATTAGTTTTATGTACTTACTATTCAGTCTTTAAATAGACTTCGGACTCAGGTTGGACGGAGCAAGGACAATTTGTTCAGGAGGGAATTTTCGGATGGTTCTAACCTGGACTGTTTGTGCGGTGCGACTCAAAGGATGGCCCACCTCATATCGTGCTCTACGTGCCCTAACACCTGCACGCTTGGGGATTTAATGGCTTCTACTAGAGACGCGTTCGGCGTGGCTGAGTTTTGGGCCACAATAGTATAATGTATGTTATCGATACGATAAGAAGTATTTAGTACAATTATGCAATTATGTAGCCAAAAACATGCCATGTGTGAAACATGCTGTTCCGTTTCATCTGATCTGATGAGACATCCCAAAAATGTACCTTTATTTATTTTCACTCATCCCTCTACGCAACGTTTCACACAGTCTTTTCTGCTCACTTACTTAGAAACACGTCAGACACACGCACGCACGCACGCACGCACGCACGCACGCACGCACGCACGCGCGCGCGCACGCACGCACGGACGCACGCACGCACGCACGCACGCACGCACGCACGCACGCACGCACGTACGCACGCACGCACGCACGCACGCACGCGCGCACGCACACACGCACGCACGGTGCTGTTGAAGCCTTACCCTTCCAAACGCAACGAACGCATTAATACTCGCGTTACCGCTTGACGGCAAAAATAGGTAAGGTGGCAATAATTCCCTGAATGAACTCTTTCACGAAGAGCTTTACAGTGGGTACGTAAGAAACAATGGGCGTTTAGTATAGTTTCTTATAGAGAGGACCTTACTTTGTTACTACCGTTCTTCAATCTCCACAAATCATACTAAGCTT